CTAGCAGGAAGAAATGCCAAGGTTTCGAGCATAGTTAGCATATGAACTTTGCAGCTTGTATGTATTTGTGGTTATATTGCAAATGAAACATTAATCTCGGCCATCTGTAGTTTGGTTGTATTCTATTTAGAGTCACGTTTTATTAGAATATTCAAATCGGGTCTATCTCCGTTTTATTATAGTGGCATTTATGAAGCATTTGATTTAATGAGATAAATGTTGTATTGTGGTTTTATCTCTGTAGTATTCCCATTTTATTAGAAGGTTATGTTGTTTAACGACCGAGGTTTTACACATATTTTATTTCAAAATAATATTACAGTTTTATTATTTGAAGAAATATACACAGATTTTGACAACATCGAGTTCCCGAATTATTTGATTTACTGTAATGGATGTTGTATTGTGGTTGTATCTCAGCAGTATTGTAGTTTTATTATAATTTATTGTTCATCGACTATTTTTTAAGAATATGCGATTGTACTTCAGTATTTTTATGGTCGTGTTTAGGTTGTATTCTTATATATTGTGCTACGGCACTGGTTTTGTTGGAATATGCTGTCAGAGATTTCAATCAAACCAGACGGAGAGACATAAATTTTGTCAAGGTTTTATCTACAGCGGTTGTACTTTGGTATTATTACGGTCGTGTTTGGGTTGTATTCTAATATACTATTGTTCCAAGAGCGTTGGTTTTATTGGAATATGCCACCAGAGATTTCAATCAAACCAGACGAAGCGACATAAATTTTATCAATGTTTTATCCACAACGGTTATACTTCGGTATTATTATGGTCGGGTTTGGGTTGTATTCTAATATACTATTGTTCCAAGAGCGCTGATTTTATTGGAATATGCCTCTAAAGATTCCAATCAAACCAGGCAGAGAGACAAAAATTTTATCAAGTTTTTATCCGCAACAGTTGTACTTCGGTATTATTACGGTCGTGTTTGGGTTGTATTCTAATATACTATTGTTCCACGAGCGCTAGTTTTATTAGAATATGCCGCAATAGATTCCAATCAAACCAGACAGAGTGGAAGAAATTTTATCAAGGTTTTATCCGCAGCGGTTGTACTTCGATATTTTTACGGTCGTGTTTGAGTTGTATTCTAATATATGTAAAACAATAATATTACAATAGATCTATACAATAATAAACCCATAATAAACCCTGAATAAAACTACAATAATATAAAAGTCTTTACAGTTTAAACACTAATAATACAACAATAATAACTCCTAAATAAATAGTCTCTTACATTTTAAACATTAAATATAATGATAAACTTGTATTATGACAACACATTCTATATATTATCATCTATGTCCATTAATAAGCTCGTACATGTCCTTTTGTGTTGTGTTTCAGAAAATTCATGTTCATTGATAGTCGTAATGAGTAAATGTCAGGAAATAAGTATACCTGAAAATAATGGAAATCGCAAGACAAAAATTTCAGCAACATCGAGTTCTCAACATGACTAAAGTGATATGCCATTAAAAAAATATTTAGCTCGCATTGTCGAACGCTATCATGACTTAAACCAGTATCTTTCTCCTTTCCTGTATACAATATTACATGTTATCGAGTAATGATTCAACGAACTAAAGCAGCACCTAAAGTTATAGGTAACATTTACTTTATATTCCCTTGTTTTTTTCCCAGTCGCCTTTTAACCTCGCATTAGATATTCCTCTTGGGCGCATCTTCGTGGGATCATTCACATTTTGCTTTTTACTCTGTGTATTCTTCATATTTGATTTTAAAATTTTCTGAGGTTCTTGTCCGCTCATTATGATTTCGAGATCGATTGTTAGTCTATTAAATGCCTCCAACACAAGCTTCTCGGCAAGTTCATGACCTCGCGTTCTAGTGTCGATATGATATGCAAATTAATGAATGTGATTGAAATAGATAAGTCCACTTGAAGTATTTGGCAACATTTCTGACCCCTTACGATGTGCATAACAATAACTGTTATATATGTCTCCTTTAGCGTTAATAGAACCCGGAAGTAATATATATTTATGAGGGATTTTTGTTACATTTTTGTGCTAAAGAACCCTTAGAGCGTGAGAATATAATAAGGTCATCATTTCAAATTTTTTACAACTACGGGTAATATCAGAATTACCTGTGTCCAGTTTAACAATCCAGGGTCTCTTTCTGTCCTTATTATAAAGAGTTAAAATATGAAATTCTGAATCCATATTAGCGGAGCAGTCCACAGCCAGCCTGCACAAACCATGTAGAAACTGTGCTTCAAACATTGAATATAACTTTCTTGTGTAAAGTAGAGCAACCTGTCTCAACACGAGACTACTTTTTACAGTGGGAGAAATTGCTGACATTTAAAATCTTCATCATTCTCATTTCTTCTCCAATATTTCATGACATTTTCAAGACCGAATAAACATTCAGTGAGGGTGCTCATTGCCTTGGAAACACAATGACAAATCTTATTAGTTAACTCACTTCTTTGCGTTGATAGAATTTCCATTGCAAGAGTTTCTTTATTGAAAGCGATTGACCACTTGTGTCTGATATTATACAATTCATCCAACCAAACATTGTAGGTTTCCTTTTTCGATCATTTCACCCAATGTTTCTTCAAACTCCTCTTATGAGTCACACCTGCTCAAACATTTATTAAAAAAAGTTCATTGACTCTCTTGCTACCCATGCCAGAATGGAATTTTGAAGATAATTTATTGTAAATATGTCATTAACATAATCTATGTCTGGTGTGCGGAAGACACTCTTCAATGACTTTGGTATTGTTTGATCATGGTCGGTGAATATTGTTATGGGATGCTTGTTATCCATTATACGGATAAAGACTTTGAATAACCACTTGAATGATTCAATCGTTTTATCTGACAAAAAATCAACACCAAAGAGAATATTCTGTCAGTGGTAATTCACACCGACAATCGGAGCACAACATAAATTGTATTTAGTCAGTCTATAACTTGCATCAAATATTATTACATCCCCAAAGCAGTTATAATCAATCACGAACATCCCATCGCACCATAAAAAATTCACCAAACAACCCGACTCATCAATTTGGAAGTCCAACGCAAACATTAGATCATCCGCTTGCCGCGTAGTGAACAATTGTATTAGAGAATTAGCATCCCATAGTTCAATTTGAATTATTCTCTCTCTCTGTATGAAATATACGCATCCCTCTTCGTGCAATCAAGATTCTCCACTTCTTCGACCTCAGTAGCGAGGAATTTGAATGCATCACTGGTTCTAATCCTTGATTTTATCATTGATCTGAGGATATTAGCACTGATGTCACACATCTTTTTGCTGGAACACAATAGATGATTGTCACCGTCCTCCACCAACGGATGGTTGTGACTTTCCATGAATTTCTTAACCGACCAGTTGCCTTCTAAATCAACGAAATATCGGATCATGACTGAACTACCAGTCCTTGTGTCCGCTCTTTTGAACCTCACCGTGATAGTGTCCTTCAACTCTTTCTTGAAACCAGCCTTACCACAAACAAAGTCCTTTGTCATAATCTTCTTTAAATTCAGTTAGAAACCACTGTGTTCCTTTGGCACAGTAAATCTAATATGGTGTGCATATACACAATATTGTTCATAGACTTCATTCTCATTGTGGACAATTGCATGAAACAATTTCTCCGCCTCGGGTGACTGCAAATTTAAACATCAGAATTAGCAAAAAAAAAAATTAATACAAGACTACAATACATAAATCATACCATCATAATAACATAATACAACCCAAATAATACCATTGCAATAACAATATAACAGACCAATCAAATCCCGTTAAGAAATTTTACTAACATCATCGTTAAAAGCCTATAATAGAAACATAACACCGTGATAAAACCACAATAAAACCCTGATAACACAATTAGAATGACAATATAAGACTTCGATAAAATGTCTAATTAGATCAAATAACACTAAGATAACATTATGATAATGCAAAAATAATACCACATTACCATCCCACCATAAGGAGACCTTACAGGCAAAAAACACACGCATAACACCACAATAACACAAGCATAACACCACAATAACACAATCATAACGCCATTAAACGTCAACATAATACACTAAAACAAAATAAAGTTAGCAGATCCAATATTATTTTAATAACACTATGATACTACCAAAATAACACTAAATCCCCACGACAGTAACGTTACAAGTAAATGATACTGTAACACTTTTACACCATTACGATGACGATAATAGTTACCCATTAATCCCATCACGACGATGAGAACAACACTTCATTATGACAGTTATTTAACCCATTAAAACTATAAAGAACAATCATAAATGAAAAACAACTCTAAAAACAATCAGTATATCACCGTGATATTACCTAAATAACATTACGTTCCACCCTAACAGAAACTTAGCGTTACACGTCAGATAAAAACCGAGCAAACTTCAATAACAAAACAAATATTCCTTAAAATCTAAATCTGCAGTTGAACAAGTATAACCTATCTGTCGAATTTCTTCTGTCGCATCTAAACTCAACTCATTCTCATGATTTTCGAAAATATTTTGAGATTTCAGCTCATTGTAATGTTTCTAGCAAATATTTTGAGATTTTAGCAAAATTTACTCGTCAAGAAATACTTTCATTGAACTAGGTCCACCGAATACGAATGGTTCCTAGAAAGACAACAAAATGAGAATGCTGTGAATCTCTATACTAAGGGGACAAAATACGTATTTTTTCTAATTGGTAGGAAGCGAAAATGATAAAAGTGCGTTTTTTTAGCTTGGGCAAGATTCGGGCTGAATCGGAAGTAATATAATAAAGTTTTAAACCTAAATAATAATAGTGAGACCATATTCCACTAGACATTTTTAAATTGGCAAAGCTTCCATGAATAATTTTTACTCGTGGTGAGACCGATTCGGTGAATAGGCTGGCTGCTTGGGGGTATATCTGTAAAGACGAACGAACGAACGAATAAAGGTGTCGCCTCTATCACGCTAAGTTCCGCTTAGGTTTTCATCTTCCGGTTTCTGTGGCAGGGAGCGGCAGTAGCTGCTCCTGGCATCTCCTTTCTCCGTATCGGTATGTCTCCGGTTCTTAGAATCCTCCTCTCGATCTTATTCTCCCTCATTGATTATTGAATGCGAAGAATCTCCCTTCAAATCTCCTGAGATGGCTTTTGGTGCAGGGGTCTCGTTTTTTTTCCCCCGAACAAACCGTTCCAGCCTTTCTTCATTGATTTTCTGCTTGTTTGCTAAGTTTAGGGTTTCCATGGACGGCCCTTGCTTTTGGTTCACTTCAGATATAGGGTTTTTGGTATTTTAATAGGGACTAGCCATTTATTCTCCTCTCGGTTCCCCCGATCTATGACCTCTTGCACTCTTTCTTATCGCGATCGTTAATTATTTAATATACATATTATGTTCTTGTCGTCATATAATTATTTGCATCACAATAATGTGAAAAAGCGTGAAATTTTCTCTAATTTTTATTGCTTGTGTTTATGGCGTGCTTTTGTGGAGAATAAGCTTAGAACTCTCATTTTTTTCATCATAGCAGGCATGTTCATACAGCTTTAATTGCAGATTTAGTTGTCTTATTGTTCAAATACTTATAAATTTGATTATTTTTTAACTAGCTATGATTTATACATGGATCCGTGGACTATTTTAGAAGGCAGTTGTACTAAATTAGTCTTGTGGTATTTTTTGCAGGCTAATTCTTTTTTGCTTAAGTTATTCGAAGGGTTTTCATGCGTTTAAGTTGCGATAATGGCAAAGACAAAAAATCGAACCGTTTTCTTAGACATATCTTTTGATGGTGGATCTCCCAAAAGAATGGTCTTTGAGGTATTTTTTCACTTTATTTTTAGGATTAATTATTGAATTTTAAATTTTGAACAAGTGAATAGACATTCAAGATGATTACCTGCATATACATTCAAACATACATACTTACAAAACTCCTCCTAGCCTCATGGTTGACCAGTAGCTTCATGTTTAACAGTAAGAATGCATCGTATAGTCCATAAAAAAATGTTTGAACTCAACTTTTACACTACGTAAAGAAGCAAACATAGATATGTTGTATGGTTGATCAGATCGAACCATGTTGTGTGTGCTGTTAAACATTCTAACTCAAACTATTTGATGACTTGTAGCTCTTTTATGATGTTGTCCCCAAGACTGCAGAAAACTTTCGTGCACTCTGCACAGGTAATTATTTCTTATCATTTTCTTTTCTCCACTGGTAATTATTTTTAAACATTGTGCATTTGTGTTCATAATGCAAGTTGTGTAACTATGGCTTTCTTGTGGTTTATGGCCACCACACTGAACAATGAGCAATCCTTTGACTTAATGCATCACAGACACTTTAATCACGAGCCTTTTATCAATAAATTTTATTATTTGAACTTGATTTTGCTCTTCATTATGATGATAAAAGTTCATATGTACTATTTCTGTAAATTGTGTTTAAGCAGGTCCATCCGCACCATGTAAAGTTTTTTTGGAAGTTCTAGTTATGCAATCCTAATTTTTTCAATCATGGTAATAAAAGAAATTTATCTATTTTTGTGTTTTACTTATTTCAATCGATAATTAAGTTTCAAACTTAAAACTTATTTACAATTTCTATAATTTTATTTGGCTCTAAACTGAAATTATTTTGCTTAAACTTGGACATGTCTCACTTGAATTAGTTTGATTTAGCTCAAACCAACCCAAAATATGATTTATTTACATGTTTGTTTTAAGATATATCTGATGACATAATTTTACAAAAATATAATACATGCATATAGATTATAAATTTGATTTATAGTCAAAATTTTATCTAATAAGATTAATGTTTTGTCTTAAGTTAGCCTAAAATTTTATTTGAACATTTGATCTTCAATTTGAATTGAGTCTGACATGCTTAAAGTCAGTTCCATATCACCATTAAAGTGTATGTAGAAATTTATTTTTTATACTTGTCATGGATGATGTGCATTTAGGGTTGATAGTTATGTCAAAAATTTGAAACTATTAGCTTAAGAGTTATTGGCTTTTTTTCTTTAATTGAAATTGTAATTGCTTACTTCAACTTGCTTGTTGAAATTTTTTTCGTTGGAACTCTTTCTTGAAGCTGATTGACCAAGTACTGTGCTCAAGCAGGAGGATTGACCAAGTATTTTCCTATTTCAATTGGATTACATCAGAGATCGATTTTAAGCCCATAACTTTTTGCTTTAGTTATGGATGCTCATACTGGGCATTTACAGGAGGTTGTTTCTTGGTGTATGCTTTTTGCTGATGATATCCTTCTTGTGGATAAGGCTAAAAAATAAAGTTCAGGAAAAACTTGAATTATGGAGGTCTACATTGAAGTCTAAAGTTCTTCGTTTGAGTAGAATTAAAAATGAATACATGGATTGTAATTTTAGTATTAGCAACACTAGTGACATAGTTGTGACTATTGGGTGATTAAATCATTAAAAGATGTAAATGTTTTAGATATATCGGGTCTATTGTTCAAAGTGATGCTGATGTAGATGGGTATGTTATTAGTTAAAGTCATGTTGGTTGGTTGAAGTGGAGGAATGCATCGAGCCTATTGTGTGATAGAAAAGTACCGTTGAGGTAGACCTAAAAAGACTGGGCATATTTTATAAAAAAAATATCTTAATCTATCATAATTAAATGAAAACATGATACTCAATAGGTCAAAATAAAGAAATTGGATTCATATAGCCGGCCCCACTTAATGGGATAAGAGCTTGTCGTCATTCTTATTGTTGAACTCTCTCTTGAAGCGTATGCGTTACAAGAAAATTGTTCTTTTAAATAATAAGCTATCAAATATGTAATCCTTTTCATTGTATGATATTTTTTATCAAGTTAGTAGCTAGTTAGTTGTTGAAGAGCAAGTGAGCATGTTCATGGGCATAATTGAGCAGGGGAGTTGGTGTTAAAGTTTGTTCATTTCTCTGACATCTTTTTAAATTTCTTTTTTAAATTGATTCAAATATGTAAATAACTGAGCTTCATACAAAGATTTATCAAGTTGTTGTCAAGTGCACTTATCCACTCACAATCACTCACCCTTCACATCAACTTTACTTTTATTTTTATTATAGATTGGTTTGGGTTGAATTCATTTTTGGAGGCATGGTTGGTGAAGTTGGGTGGTGAGATAGTGGAGTTGGATAGAATCACCAAGGAGGTGTCAAAGATGGATGTGTGATCCAAACGTGGTCATTGTGGGCATGATTTGAGTATAGAGGAACTTTGTGCATTACTGGCTACATGGTTTGGATGAAACATGTAACCTATCATCAAAACTTACATGTGTGGCATGTGTCCGTATACGCAGTGTATGTCTATTATATTTCATATATAAATGTACACCTTTATAATTTATATGAAATATCAGACACGAATTTATGGATAATTTTATTCAGGAATTGATTTATTTATTTTTTGAAATTCATAGTCGTCACTCAAATTTTGGAAGTCGCGATGAATTTTAATACTTTTGATTTGAATTGAACATGGCCTGATTAAAAAAATATTTTATTTTGAAGTCAAGCAAGTTCTCTTGTTCGTTACTTGCATATCTATATTTAGGCTTGTTCTCATTGCATTCAGCTCTTGGCTGTTTCTTAGTCTCTTTATTTTATTTTAGATTGCATTTCGTCTCATCCTCCTTTTTATCATGGGAAATTACTTATCATGCTAACTTATTCTTATTTTAATTTTTTATAACTTTCAAAATTTTTGATTTTTCTATTAAGTTATACAATATTGAAAATGATTCCATCAATCATTTGAGCTTGTGCTGTTAAATTTACATATTATTATTACTTATCATGCCAATCTTTTTCTCATTGAATTCATTCAATTAAATTTGTTGAAGTAAACTTTTTTTATTATTTAAGTCGGTAATTTTTCCACTTGATACTACATGTAGGTTGTGCAAACCGAGCTTTATTATATTTACATTTTTTTTTTTGATTTATCATTCATGCCAATATAACTAAAAATTGGAATTATTAATTATTCTTAATGTTTAAATGAGAACAATTTGAGATTTCTTTATGTTACTTATTTAAAGCATGTTTGTTTAATGTCTGATACTTGTTAAGGTATTTTAAGTGCATGATTGCGTTGATGCCTGCTCATAGAAGTTGAAATCCTATTCATATTATTTACTGACTTTGGATATGTGTGATGCGCTAAACCATCACAGTTTTCATACTACGGATGCTAATTTTTTATTAAGTTTCATTTTATTTTTTGGGCTATATGTCAATTCAGAATTCAGAATATGCCATATTATGTGACTGACCGTGAATAGGCGTGATATGCTAAACTATTCACAGTTTTCATACTATGTTTAATAATTTTTAATTAAGTTTCATTCTTTTCATGGCTATATGTCTATTCAGAATATGCCATTTTATTATGTAACTTTATTAATTTTCATTTAACGTTAAATGAGCTATGATATGTATTTAACGTAACATAGACTATATTATAATTATTTCCTTTTTGATACACATGTTAAAATGAATGAATTCATTTTATTATCCATTTATTTTGTTTTATGACAGGTGAAATGGGTATAGGCCGCACAACAGGGAAACAACTTCAATATAAAGGATCAATTTTTCATCGTATTATTGGAGGATTCATGGCACAAGTATGTTACTCTGGTGCTTTTTCTATAAATTGTTAGTGCAATGAGTGATTGTTGGCATATTCTCGCGAGTTGCCTAGAATTAGATGCAAACAATTTTATATACTGGCCAGTTTGTCATGTTTATGATGTAGGATACAGGAAAGATGGTCAGGGCCCCTTTTCTTGGGTTTTAGTAATTAAGGTTGTGATTTGCTATATTATATCCTATTTAACAGTGTTATCCCTAGCCAAGGCGTTTTTGTTTACACTAGAGCTCTTTCTTTAAAATGTTCTTATATTTTGCTGTATTTTGCAGGGAGGAGATTTTTCGAAACGTGATGGTATGCTATCTGTTGCTTTTTCCCTCAACCTTAATGTTGAGCATTTTGCGCTTTTTGCTCATTCATCGCAAATGAATAATTTTGCATCGGCTGGTTTACGCACTATGATGTTTATTTTGATTGCACTATTAAGGTGTTGTTTTTTGAGAATTGATTGGATTGCTTTTTTGTTCTTTTTTTTCCTCTCAATGTAGTTCAGTTTCTAGTATGGAACTAATAGCAGTGTTATTTCTCAAGGAAATTGATACTAGAGTTAACCCAAACACAACAATGGGTAATCCAAATAGTATAACTGAAACCAAATGGGAATTTACGACCAAACAACTGAAGTAGGAAGTAAAAACAACCACGACACACAAACTTGATTACGGTTACTTCAAGGTGGTGGTGGTGGTTCAGGCCGTAAGGGGCTAGGTAAGGCGTTGTTAGGATAGGAAATGTGCTGGACTGCAGAAAAAACAGCGGCACAACAGCGGAAGGCTGCTGTCCTGGGCGGCAGCAACCCAATAGGGAAGTTGGGACAACGTTGGTAACCAACAGGAATGGGGGGAAATGGGTGGCCAGGAGGCAGGAATGGTAGGGATGGTTGATGGCTGCAGGATCACAGCAAAGGAATGCTGTCTATGGGCGGCTGCAGTAGGGATGGTGGCAGGGGAACACCTGGGAGCGTCATGGGGAAGGATGTGGTGGCTGGAAAGGCGGGAACTGCAGTTAAAAAAAAAAAAAAAAGCTAAAAAGGGTTGTTTTCCTGTGGCTGACGCAAAGATGGCAGCGGCGGTGGCGGCATCGGCGGGGAAGGAAAGGTTGTGGGGTGGTTGGGAAAGGATAAATATCACCTCGAGAGCGAGATGCAGCTGGAGAATCACTATTCCTTGGATACAATTTTCGAAAGGAAAGACATCGACGGTTCTTCTGATAGAAACACAATCAAAATTGAAAACCTAAAGTACAAAATTCTATTGTGTAAGCCCTGGATAGCTAAAAAGTGCCCCCATACAATTGGATGATAGTTCACTAGCTTGGGGGGCTGGCCAGCCTTCAAAATGCTGGGCCCGTGCGGTGTAGTAGCGGATGCGACTCCCGCTTCCGCTATTTGGCGCTCTGGCGCCCGCTATGTTGATGCCCGCGTCAGTGGCATACTTGAAAAAGAAAATGAAGGCCTTTCTTTGAAAATGCTAGTTTAGTTTTTTTTTTTTTTTGAATTGTCTTGTTCTCATAGCTGACAACAGCTACCTGTTCTGGTAGTAGTGTCATTTGAAGAGAAATAAGTTTATATTGTGAATTCTTATGACAGCTAAAAATGATTTTATTTTTTCATGTTAGTTTTTCTTTCATTATATGGTGCCACATCGAAACTGTGATGAAGTTGCCCAATTTATGTTATTCTTATCCAAGAATTGATTAAATATACCACGAGAGTAATGATAAAAAGTGTTAGTCATGGCTTACAAAAGAGATTGATTATGATTTAGTGCTTGTCAAGTTCACCAAAACTTTCATTAAAAATGATTGGGTCTTTTATTTTATTTTTTTAAGTTGCCAACCTATAAATTGATTTATATATATGATTGTACATGAATAAGTGCACTTGATGAACAACTCAATTCTTGTTTTGTATAAGGCTCATTTATACTTATCTATTTACATAATTGAGTAAGTTTGAACATATTTTTAAAAGGTAGTCATATAATTGAACAAGCGCATCAACCCCTTGTTCATTTATGTTAATGAACTCATTGGTTGTTTAACAAGTAGCTTGCTAAGTTCTCACTTAAGAACTCTTTTAATGATAGTTTATTGGCTTATTTGATGGCTTCTAAATATTATTCTTGTATCAATTTTCCCATATTTTATACACTTAGAAAATTATGTAAATTTGTATAAATATATATCAAATAAATAACTTCATATAAATTTAATTTTCTCTTATTAATATATAAATTCCTCCGAACAATTTAAAAAATGCTGAATGTATAGTACTAATTTTGAGCAAAGTCAGCAAACCCAATATGGCTAATTTTTCGGCTATATGTTTAAATCATTAGCATCAAACATATAGTTTGTTAGGCTTTATTGGCTTTACCGAAGCTTGATCGTGGTTAGCTCATTTGTATCCCTATTTATGTTTGAATAAAATCTTTTCAATTTCTTATTTTTTGCGTAATAATTTACCATACATTCTCTATTATGGGAGATTTTTTTTTTGGGATTTATAAAAAAATTACTCACCCCTCTTAGTGGGATAAAGGCTTGTTGTTTTTGTTTTTATTTTTAAAAAAAATATTCCATATTTAGTTTTCAATTTCTAATCCCACTCATTCCCATACCCACATATGGTGTTTCTAGGAACTCAATGCAAGTATGAGTTTCTTACTGCTAAATTGGTTCCTTTTAATCCAATTTACTTTACTCGTATGCCATTTTCCACACAGAAGAGTGCGTTTAATTTTTCAAAACTATATTTTTGTTTTGATTTTAGCCTTTGATGGTGTCAAAGGACGTTATGTATTATTGAATTTGTTTTGTGTTATTTTTTAACATATGTTGTTGGGATTATGCATTTTATATTCTTAACCTTAGCGGTTTAATTCCATGCAATTCAATGTTAGTAATGACTCATGGGCTTCCTTTTATCTACTTAATTTGTAGGTGCATACATGTTTCCAAAAAAGAGCTTAATTTTTAATCCTCCCTTACCAAATTGGTTGCTACTAAGTTTAGTTCTTAATGGGCAAAATTGGCAGCCCTTAAAATGTTAAACGCTGGTTAATCTTGAATTATTTTGTGGTTGATCCATGTTTTGGACCTATTTTTAAAAGCTTTGAAACATGGCTGCACATTTCTGAGGAAGTTTTTCAATTTAGGTGCTTTGATTGTGATATTGCATACATGTGTGCTGTAAATCTTGATAGAAATGAAGGGCGTTGCTGGAGTAGCAGCTAGGGTCTAGCATTAAGCAAGGAATTGGGTTTAGTTTAAGAGCGATTTATTGATGCATTAAGGAAACATTGAACTTGTTTTAAGGTCAACTTGTAGTAGGGTTTAAAGCTAGTTGGCGTTTGGATTTGATGTGTTGAAGATTAAGAATTGGTCCAAGCTTTGAGAAGATTTTGGTGAGGATCAGAGGATAGGTTTTATGCAACATTTTTGAAGGACTAACAAATGTTTAGGCAATGTTTAAATGAAGAATTAATGATTATTTTGGATTTGTATTGAATTTAATTTGGAGTAGTTTTATGGGCTGGATTAGGGACATATTTTGATATTTAATGTGAGCAGAATTTATATAGATTTAGGTTTCAGAGAGTTGGTGTGGAAGTCGTGAGGGGGAAAAGGGTTGACTTTATAAAAGTTGTGAATAAATACTTTCAGACTTTTAACACCATATGAGCACTGAGCAGAAATGGATGGTAATTGAATTTTTAAAAGTTAAATGTAAATTATAAATGCAAATTTAAAATGAAAAATAAATTTTATTTTAAATTAAAATTCAATTATATATTTGAATTAAATTAATTTATTTTAATTAAATTAAAATTTTAAAATAAAATAAATTGTATTCAAATTAGAATTTAAAAATAAAAAATAATGGCTAATTGTGATGTTGATTTACGCATCGATTATTTTCCCTAGTTATTTCATCAAAATCTGATCAATCCGAAGCATTGGATTTTTTTTTTCTTTGTATCCTTCTCGTGCGAGGAGTTGGTGATTTTTGCAGTCCTGTTGTTATTTTAGCTGAAATTATGTCATTCTCAGGATCTCTTTGTTTTTCCGTTCTAACTCTTTTTATTTTTTACATATTTAAAAATCAAATCATCTTCCTTTTTATTATGTCTTACAATTTTTTTTTCACGTTTTCAGGAACTGGTGGAGAGAGCATCTATGGTGGAAAATTTGCGGGTAATTATGGATTTAAATTGTCTAATCACACCTCAGTATTGTGTTTTGCCAATGCAATGATGATGATTAGTTTCAATATTTATGTGTTTTACTGCTGCAGATTGATTTGTTGTGTTTTGCTTACTTTGTGAAATGGATGCTTGCGCTATTTTGGGCTTTGGCCTTGTTTGATAATATAGAGCTGGAGAACATATGGTTTCGGTTAAGTGAATTAATTCTTTGCTCTGATTACATAGCCTTGAAGTGTTGCAAATGTAATGTTTTTCTTGTTGGTAAATGGTCCTGATAACATATGTCAACTTTTGTTGTTATTTCAAACCTTTCTTTTGTAATTCAGGCTTCATTTAATACCTGGAAGAAAATAAGTTATTCAATCAATTTTGGTTTATGGGGATTACTTTTTGGTAGTTGATTTGACATTATTTATTTCTGTGATATCTTGGTTTACCTAGGCCTTGAATTTTGTATGACCAACCATTACTGAATCAACCTACCTCTGTTGTTGGATCCAATCAAAGGCTTTTTGAAGTCAGGCTTTTGAAAATATGGTAATTATCTACAACTGCTGTATCTTTCTATATGGCAATGGTAAATACAAGTCATTTTAAGGGTCCATGTCAGGTGTTTCTACGTTTAAGAGTTTAAAATTGTTGTTGACGATGGTAAGAGCTTTTTGATCTAGTTTTTTAGGCCACATCTTCAGTGTTCCCACATTATAGATCTTAAAGCTTGAGTTTCAAGTATTAACAAACTTTTTTGCTTGCTTTTCTCTAAATGGGAAATCTAGCTGTTATAATTTCAAGGTGCTTGCTCTTGAATGATCTTATACCTTTCCTTTTGTAGTTCATTTTTATTTAAATGTTCTTTTGGTTTTTTTTGTTTTTTTGGTTGAAAATTTTGTTTAGAAGTTGGTTGGACGCAATGTCAATTTTAGTTTTCTAAATGATTCTTCGTTTTTTTTTCTTAGAATAATATTAAAACCCTTTGAATTTTTTCCCCCAAGAATTGATTGCTTTCAAAATTTCCTAGCCTTAAACTTTTCATTTTTGGGTTAATTATTTTGAGGTTTTACAACACTTTAGACATTGGGCTACTCTTTATAGTCTTGTTATTGTTATGTTAAAATAAACGTGCTGTCTAATAGATGTAGTTGCGGCAGCGTTTCTCTTGATCCCCCTTTCAACATATCACATACATAAACTTGAGGGCCTGTGGATGCAATTGTAAAAAAAAATGATGTTCCTTTGCTCATCACTCATTATGGGGTTTTGGGGGCTTATGCGACCGCTATAGGGTCTGATGAAAAACTAAATTATCTCAATCTTTTTTTTATTGTCTGGATTTTTGGTCAGATTTGTTGTTTGGTATAAATAGGGAATCTGCTTTCAATTGATTTGTTTGAATATTCTATTCCAATTTTCATATTTTATTTGAATTGTTCGGAGAGAACTTCTTACTTCCAGTTTCTAGAAACTTGACCTTCTCAATTAGCGCTGCATATACCTGTCTCTTTTTTTCTCCATTGATGTATTCTTTAAGCTGACTGTGGTAACATGTATTTAATGTTTTTACCATTTTTACTTGTTTACCATTGCCCTATTTTATTGTGCTGATTTACATTGGTTTTTCAGTTCTGTTTTTTCTGTTTGCATCTTGTTACGACCTCTTTAACTAGTTGCAGCTTACATTTCATGCATCCTATGAAAACTTCTGCAATTCTAGTGGTCTTTTGGAAGATTAGCTTGAAAGAAATAATTAAAAATAGGGGCATTTACTTACATAGCCCACAATTCTTATGCAGAAAAATATCTCACACCTAAACTTTCATATTAACGTACATATCACCCGAACCTTTATTCTTACATAAAAAATAGCATTATTACCTCTTTTTAAATGAAAATACACATTTTCATGCATAGGTTTAAAGCACCAAAATACTGTCTGTAAATATGGAAGTTTTGGTGTGAGATATGTAAATACCTAAGAATTGTGTGCTAGTTATATTTACTTTCCTTAAAAATTATTACTAAACTTTTCATTGTTTTTTCCTTTGACGTATTTATTAAAAATAGATCCGTTTTTTTTGTCAACTAATGATCTTAAATTTCAATTTTATGTCTGGCATGTACTAAAAATATTTGTCATGTCACTCTTTTTTATGTATATCTTTGAAGAACACTTGTAGTATTTGGGGAAGAAATTATGAATATTTTGTGAATTATTTGTGAGTGTTTTTTCACTTTTTGTATGATGACTGAGCAAAAATGATGGCTGAAGTAGCGTCTCATTTTTTTAGCTTATTGGCGTCATTTTAATTAATTTGCAGATGAAAATTTTGTTCTTCGCCATGATGGTCCAGGACTTCTTTCAATGGCAAATGCTGGACGTGACACAAATGGTTCCCAGTTCTTTATCACTTTTAAGGCCACTCCCCACCTTGATGGGTTTGTTTCCAATTACTTTTCTTTCATGTATTCCTTAGTTTGTCCATGTCTGTTTGGATTTCTTGCATAAACGGAACTTAAGGTTTGTTATCCTTTGCCATTTTTGAATGGAATTTTAAGGTCAGTGCTATTTATGAGGTGCATTAAAGCATTGTTTCTGAATTGTAGTGATCTATCAGATTTCTACATACAATATGACTTGGTTAATCACTACTTTTTTTTTGTTTAGTTTTCTGCTCAGTTTTTGGACTCCACGAGCAGTTGAAATTTCTGTAGATTGTTATGCTTGGAAGTGTTTTTTTGGGTCAATCTGAACATTTTATGCAGTAATGTGTAACTTCTTCTTTGAGGAAGAAGTCACAAAATTGTAAAACATAAGAGCTCGTCTAAAGACCAAAAACTTCAAATTTGTCTATGCGGGAAACTTTCTTCTTGGCATGGATGAGTAATAAAATTCGAAAATTTCCTTCAAAACAGTTCGTCGCTCAATGGGAAAACAAACTTATCTATCATTCTTTAAAATAATATTTTCTTAGCTTTTCACTTCAAGCTGATAGTTGCTTGTGGAGCTTTTAAATTTCAAATTATTTTGAATATTCTCTAATAAGTGGCTTTAAGTTTCTAAAGTTAAGAATTTGTAAATGATGTTATTTAATCTTCCCATTTGATTTTGTAGATAGTCACATTATTCATTATATGAAAATTTTATCCATAATGTGACAGTTAAATACCCACATTAGAGTCTCAATACATAAAATTGGGACGTTCATATTTTTAAATTCATAATTTTCTTTCATTTATCAAAAAATATAGATATAAATTTGTTGGTTAAGCACATTTTGCTTTACTTAAGGAATAACTTATTTTGTCTAAATTAAAACTGGACATTCTTTTTTGTGCAGAAGATTAAAGTGAGGGAAGTAATCAATAAATATGAATTGAAGTTTGAATATATTACGTCAGTGTCTAAGGGCAATTTTTGTTTTTTGTTAGCCAAAGGACAATATAGTCATTTGTCATTTAGTATTGTTTAGTATAAATGTGCTAATATGTTTAGGGTTAGGGTTATGCATGAGATTGGGTCTTGAGTCTTAAGATTAGGCTTTGAGAATATAGGATTTGGGAGAGATTGCCTATATCTCGAATTTTAGGGGCTTATTTTATGCATTCATGTTGTATTGTTTGATGTTTTTGAATAAATGTTTGCTTGCCTTAATTTTTTCCAATAATCCTATCAAATGATATCAAAGTAATTTATCTCGACTATTGAATCGTTTTAGATCAGAGGGGCTCGCTGCGCACAAGCACCTGGAAGGATTTCCGAAATCAAATTTGGGACTTTTGGGAAGGAAGGTTTCATGCGATCAAACTGACCAGGGAAGAAAATGACAAGATCGAAGGGATCACACAATTCAACCTAGCGGGAAGCATACGACATAACCGAAGGTATCGAGCAATTCCAATGATGTGATTGTACTTGGATTGTGTATAGGCAATACAATTGTGATAGAGCTGACTGGGAAGTGACGATTTGGATCGCTGCGTACAGTGACAAGAATATTGTGATACAATCATGATTTGACTTCATTTGGGCTAATTTGGAAGATGTGATCAAGGCCATGTAACATCACCTTCGTGACCTCACGAAACAGTTGCAATTTGAGCTAAGCTAGGATGTTGACTGGATCAGGACATGCATTTTGTGATCAAAATGTCTGGGAAATAATTACAACAAAGAAAATAAATAATTTGGAGAAGTAATTGAAGGAAGACGTGAGCCAACTTAAATTTGGGATAAAGGAAAAATTTTCCTCAGTTGAAATCTGATTCGAAAGATTGGAGATGAAATCCAAGACTTTGCTAGCGGTTGAATTTGTAAACCTTAACCAAGAGTTGACTGAAGAATCTTTGGCTAATTGAAGGGGAAAGATATCGAACTAGAGGAACATGAGGAGAAAAGTATAAACATTGAAGAACCCTTTCCTTGGGCTCTGCTGGGGGGGGTGTGAGAGAGATTGTCATGAGAGTTGGTTGGGCCGAAATATGGAGGTGTATGCAAAGGGAGCATGAGAAGGAAGTAGAGTAGACGAGATGTGATATGGTTATGATCAACAAACCTCGATTCATGGGATAAAATACTCAAAGAAGAGGAAATTGGGGTGGAGATGCTAGAATTTGGAAGTTGAAGATGCTGATCTTCAAGGGAGAATATCACTTCGAAGAATTTTAGCTTGGGATAGGAAACTATAGTGGGTGGGTGGGAACCCGACGGAGGGATGTATCCAACTGTGCTAGTATTTTTTGTGGTGGTAGCCTTTCGGGTGAAAGGCTATTCAAAAGTAATGATGGGAAAGAGGCAAGTGGTGAAAAATGTGGGAGTTTGTAAGGGACTGATTTGAACACTGCAGAGTATTCAGGAGGGAGACAAGATGATGGTGTTTTGCAGAGAATCAATTTGTGCAAGAAGTTGGTGATGTTGAAGACTATTATGAGGGTGATTCAGGATGCAGAGTCGGGATTCTTGATCGAGTGGTATCTCATGGAAGAAATACATATACATAGTTAACTGAGATATCAGTGATTCATGAGCTATTGAATGAGGCATTTGGGGCTACAATATTCTCTAACATTGATTGAAAGTCAGGACAATCAGATGCGACCGAAGGATGTGGACAAGACGACATTTCGATACGGTGAGTGTCACTAAAAGTTTTATGATTAAATGAAAATGATTGCCAGGTGATGACACCACGTGAGAGCAATACGATATTGATCTAGCAATAGTTTTTTCACATGGAGGACAATGTGAATTTTTGGGAGGGGAGTATTTTTATGCTAATTCTTAAGGGCGATTCTGTCTTTTTTTATCCCAAGGGCGATTTTGTTATTTGTCATTTATTATTGTTTAGTATAATATGACTAATATATTCAGCGTTGAGATTATGCATGAGATTGGTTCTTGAGTCTTAGTGTTAGGGTTTGTGAGAGGTTTCCTACCCTTTAAATTAAAAGATTTGGGAGAAATCGCCTACCTCTCGTAGGTCCTTTTCTTATGTATTTGTATTGTGTTGTTTGATGTTCTTCAAATAAAATATTTATTTGCCTTAATTTCTGCTATATTCTTATTAGAGTTCGGTACAGTTCGCATGATTTTTAGATTATTGGATCGATATTTGGTAGTCATGAGATCAATAATCATATGTGCTAGAAGTTATATTAGGAAATAATTTATTCCTACGAGAAGTTATGAGGAATAAATTATTTATTGAGATAAGGAGTTATTTCATTTTCTATTTTATATTTATTTTATTGTATTAGGAGTTATTTATTTTCTTGAATTATGAATTGTTTCTTTTCCTATTTTATGTTATTTTCTTTGTCTTTAAATAATTAATAGGAATTGATTATTAGAGATATTTTGTGATGTATTTTTCCCTTCATGTTATTTTCTTTTTATTATCTTTCCTATTCTAGGATTCATGTAAAGGGTTATTTTTACCCTCCATATCAATGAAAAAATTCTTGTTTAATTCTGCTTAATTCCGAATTATTATGAATTTCAAAATGGTATTGGAGCCTAATTTCGTACTCTAGCCACAAGACTCCCTTCCTGCCATCCTCTATGCAGGAAGGGTGGTGCACTCGTCTTGGTATTGGAAAGAAGGATTTTTTCTTCTCCTCTCCCTGCAGGCTTGGCCTGTCAGTTTGCCCTTCCCAAGCCAGGAGCTTTGACTCTGCCGCCCTCTGACGAGCGGCCTCTCCCGGTAAGTTTCTGTTGAACCTTTGTCCCCATCTTTTCCTCTCACTGGCATCCCTTCTCTTAGGAGTTATGTGTTGATGGCTTCTCTGCTGTCCCTCCCAGCCCCAAGATTTTCCTGTTGTTCTTTACTTGTAGTAGGCCCCCCTTCAAAGCTTTTCTTTGCAGCAATCGGGCTTCCCTTATTTTCTGCAGGTCCCTATTACTGGAGGTCATTCTCGTTGTTTTTGGTGCTTGTTCCCTGCAACAGTTTGGTTTCCTAGTTTCCAGCAGCCCGACTTCCCTGATTTTGTGCAGTCGTCCAGATTTCCAGTAGTTCGGCTTTCTGATTTCCACCAGTTCGACTTTCCTGATTTTCCACAGTCTTACAACAACAGTCCTCTCTTACCAGTGCTCTGCATCCCAACTGATGCTAGGATTTTCGAAGAAGATCCACAGGACTTCATTCGAAATATTTTCCTGCTGCTTTTTCTTTAAGTTGTCTACTTCTCTGCAAACTCCTCTGCAACATTACCCGTAACAGCATTCCGCCTACCTATAAACACGGCAGAAACTGCATTCAAAGACAATCCTAGTCAACTAAAAGTCGGCTTTTTTCTACAGGTTGTCTACTTTCCTTCAAATTCCCTTACAACATGACATGTAAGAGTCTCCTGTCTATCTACAGACACTGTAGGAACTACACTATAAAACAATCACAGTTGTTTACTGTAACATTATTTGTAGGAGCCTTCATACATGCAGTTCTGCAGTAAAAGAAAACAACAATTCAGTTTAAAGACATCAAATTCTACTTGACGGGATCTCCCTCGTATATTGTTTGATCTTTTCAAATACAAATTGAACATTGTTTTCTATCATATTTAAACTTGAGGGGGAGTGTTAGAAGTTATATTAGGAAATAAATTATTCCTATGAAAAGTTATGAGAAATAAATTATCTCTCGAGATTAGGAGTTATTTTATTTCCAATTTTATATTTATTTATTTGGATTAGGAGTTATTTTTTTTCCTATTTTAGGCTTTCCTATTTTATTTTATTATCTTTATCTCCGAATAATTAATAGGAATTGATTATTGGAAATATTAGGCGATATAGATTTTCTTTTATTTAATTTGTTTTTATCACTTTTCCTTTCTAGGATTCATGCAAAGGGTTATTTATACCTTCGTTCATTTCAATGAAAAAATTCTTGTTTAATTCCGCATTATTCTGAATTTCAATAATAAGTTCAATATTTATT